GATGGGGAGCCCCACTTGGCAAAGACAATGGGGTCACTAACTGTGAATGACTGGTTGCTTCTGTCTGTAGTTTTCATGTGCCACTACATTTCTTCCCTCAAAATAGCCATGGGTATTTTTCCCATTGCTTGTATGTTTATCTGATGTATATATTCCATCGTTTGGGTACACATATAGCTGTGGATGATCAGGAAGATGATTTCTGCTTAAGCTACATAATTTTGATGAGTAAAAATAACTAGAATATTTTTCATAATTGATGTAGGAAAGTAATAGTATTCTCAGTCACAAAGACAGCTAATTTTAGACTTCACAACAAATTCAAAACAGACCAGCTGCCTTTGCAGAGAATACACAAGGACAAGTTCCCAAATGTCTGCTGAATCAAGGTCAGGCATGAAACAACTTTGGTAGACATAACCCCTGCAGTAATTGACTTTCTGCATGTACTCCTAATCTCAAGGTTCAAGCAACTAACTGTTAATTGTTTAAGTCCTGAATTTCAATGCCACTTTCTGTCTGGGAACCTTGACCACTTAGAGCTAAGTGCATGGCCAAGCGTTACTGGCTGATCAGTGCAACCTCCCTAGCCTGAGAGAAACTGTGTGACTTATCATGTGTTATGAGATAGGGTCGAACTCTGTATATGTAACTTATAATTGTCCAGAATTTGGCTGTTGAGGTGAATGTGTGTGCTGAAAGAGGGATGTAGCTGCATGTGTAGAGGGAGAAGTGTGGGAAGATGTTATCTGAGTGTATCGGGAGAGAAGTATGAGAGATGTAAGAAGAAGAGACAGAGATGTGTATGTAGGGCAGAAATGCATGTTCAGAGTGAGTGAGTGAGTGAGTAAATGATGTGGTAGTGTGTGAAGGAATACAACAGAGTGGAGAGAAGAAATTTGTATAAAAGAGAGATGTAGAGATATGTGAAAAAGAAATGTAACTGTGTGAAAAAAGATGTAACTGTATGTAAAGATAAATTGCTGTGCAGGAGAGAGGTATTATGTAAAGAGATATACAGCAGTATGTAGCTGTGTGGAGACAGAGATTTTCAGAGAGAGGATTTTTCAAAATGAAGTAAAAGAGAAAGTTGCCACCAGAAAGCGTGTTTCCTTATTTTCTACTCAAAAAAGTCTAGCCCTCACCACATTCGTGTTTGTTTTTTGTTTTTGTTTTTGTTTTTGTTTTTGTTTTTTTGCATACCTTGGGCTGCTGGACGCTGGCCCTCCAGTTAAGAGTAGAAGACATTAAGTGTTGAGCACAAGTTACAGAATTTGAACTGGTTAAGAAGGGAACATAGCAATAAAATGAGTCCCAACAATATTCTGCTAACTCATAGATCAATGTTTTGCTAAGCCATCTTCAGAGAAGCCGCCTCCTGCAGTAGATGGGAACAAATACAGAGACTCACAGCCAGACAATGTGCATAAAGTGAGAGACCTTGGACCACTCACACCTAAATGGTATGTCTCCATCAGATACTTCCTCTCAGAGCTCAGAGAATCCCACAGAAGAGGAAATTCAATGATTTTATGGAGGGCATGGAGGACATCAAGGAAACAAGGCCTTCTACACACCTCAATACAGTAGGACCAACGTACAAGTGAATTCACAGAGACTGAGGCAGCATGCACAGGGCCTGCATGTATCTGTGCCAGATGGGGTCCCAGTGCCGAGAGGAGAAGGGGGCACAGCCCTGATCCCTAATCCAAAAGCTATCTCCAGTTCATAACTACCTGCAAATGAAAAATTAATTATCTCCAACAGAGTCTCACTGGGTAACAAACCATTCTTACAGCCAGGATCCATGCCCAGCAATAGTTGGCCAACACAAAAGGAACTCAGTGGCCTCTATGGACGTTTTTCGTCTCAAATGTTTTCTTTTTAACATTACACACCCTTTGTGTATATATTATGGTTTCTGGTTTTGTGTTTTTATGGGATTCCTGTGTGTGTAAACATTTGTGCGTCTACATCTATATGTGTAGATGGCTCTTGTGCTGGCTCTTTTTCTTCTGTTTTTGTTTGTATTGTTTTGTCCTATTCTGGTTTGTTTTTATTTTACTTTATTATTATTATTGTTCCTTAGATGCCCGTTTGTTTTCTAATGAGAGGTGGGTGGATCTTGGAGGAATTGGGGGAGAGGAAAATGTAATCAGAATACATTGTATTAAAAAAAAGCTATTTTCAACGAAATAAACAGTGAAAGTATAAGGAAAAGGAGGAGGAGGACTGAGGAAAAGGAAATAGACCATTGGCAGAAGTGGAAAGCAGCTAAGCTAGCAGATGAGACGTAGAAGTGAGGTCAAGTGACAGCCCTGGTAAAATAGGCGAACCTTCAAGCCAGGAAACGAGTTCACAGTACGAGCAAAGCAGCTGCTAGGGTGATTTCAGAAATGAAGTGACTGCTGGGGATAGGAAGGTCCATGCTGTGGCTGTGTCCACATGTGGCCGAGTGGAAGGAAAAGCTCTCTGGAGCAAACAAAGCAAGCTGAGGATCCAACGGCCATGAAGCTGGGCAGGGCCTCCATCAGTGGTCTCTGTGCTGAGGAGGAAGATGTGGAGGAATTCATGGTCTTGTTGCAACAGTTCCAAATGGCACGATGGAAGAGTGAGAGGAGGGGACAGGGCTCTGGGAGGGAGCAGGGAAGGAGATGACTGCACCGTGGGAGATATGGCCATGGGATGGTAACTGGTTAATATAAATGCTGACTTGGGGTAGGAAACCCCTTTGAGAACACACACTGATTCTGGCATCAAGGAGCAAGTTCTTTGTCTGAGATGGTACCGTGTAAACACCACATTCCTCACATACTGTACTGGCAAGACACCAGGTGTAACACAGGGCATTTTGGCCATGGTATTAACAGCATTCTGAATGTGGTGGTTTGAAAGAAAATGGCCCCAAAGGGGAGTGGCACTATGAGGAGGCGTGGCCTCATTGGAAGAAGTGTGTCACTGTCGGGGTGGGCTTTGGGGTCTCTTTTGCTCAAGCTTCCCTCAGTGTGACAGTCAGTTGGCTTCCTGTTGTCTGCAAGATGTAGCATTCTCAGCTCCAGCACCATGTCTGCCTGCATATGGCCATGCTCCCCATCATGATGATAATGGACTGAATCTCTGAAACTGTAAGTGAGCCACCCCAATTAAATGTTTTCCTTGTAAGTGTTGCCTTGCTCATGGTGTCTCTTCACAGCAATAAAAACCTTACCTAAAACACTAAGACAGTTTTGTTGTTTGCTCTGAGGGCCTCTAAACATCAATTCTACTCCTATCTCTGATGATGATAAGAAATAATGCTAGTCCTTGAACAACATACCCTAGTTCCCCATGTTTATTTACCTCTCCTCTTTTTTTAATGTCATATATTTATTTCTTTTACATCTGGACCACAACCTTCTCTCCCTCCTCTCCTCTCACTCCTCCCCCCCTTTCCCCCCACTCTCAATCTACCCCCTTCAGTATTCATTCAGAAGGGGGCAGGCCTCCTATGGGCATCAGCAAAGCATGGCATATCAAGCTGCCCTAAGACCAGGCACCTTCCCCCTGTATTCAAGCTGGGTAAGGTAATCCAGCGTGAGGAACAGGTTCCCAGTTCCCAAGAGCCAGCCAAAGCACCAGGGACAGCCCTGCTCCCATTGCCAGGAGTTCCCCACAAACAGACCAAGCTACACAACTGTCACACATATGCAGAAGGCCTGGTCAGTCCCATGCAGACTCGCTGGTTGTTGGTTCAGACTCTGTGAGTTCCTATGAGCCTCACTAGTGGTTTCTGTGGGGTTTCCTGCAATGTTCCTGACCCCTTTGGCTCCTACAATCCCTCTTCTCTCTCTTTACCAGGACTCCCCAAGCTCGGCCCAATGTTTTGCCTTGGATCTCTAAATCTGCCTCCATCAGTCACTAGAAAAAGGCTCTCTGATGACAATGGGGGTGGGGGTATTCACCAATCAGATCACAGGGGGTGGCCAGTTTAGATAAAGGCCCCCTTTTTAGTCATCTCTTACAGTACTCTCTTCCTCCATCCACCTCTCACCCGATCCCTCAGGTTCCCTGCCCACCTGCCCCTACTCCACCCAGGGGATCTCTTCTATTTCCCCTTCCCAGGCAGATCCATTGAACCCCCCTTGTTCCCTAAGCCTTTCTGGGTCTGTGGGTTGTAGCATGGTTATCCATTATTTGACAGCTAATATCCACTTATGAGTGAGTACACACCACCATGTCTCTCTTAATCTTTCTTCTGAGGACCTTTTGACTGCTTCCTCAGAAACTGATGCCGACTTGCCTCCAGGCAGATTGGATGCTATGTGCTCTCTCCCTGGCTGCCTCTCAGATTTTTAGAATGTGAAGCTCTCTCCTGCCTTAGTGCATTTCCCAGCTCACTCCATCCTGTGGCTCTCAGGAATATCCTTTTCCCCTGCATTTGCACTAAACTTTTCCTTCAGAACATTTTTCACAACGGCATTTGCATTGCTGATTGTGTAGCTATTTGTTGAACATCTGGTTCTCCCTAGAATACACAGTTTATGGCAGGAGAAATAAAATTTTATATTATTCATAAATGGTACTTTACATCAAGTTGAGTATTGGCTTAACAAATATTTATTAACCAAATGAATAGTCAAACAAGATACTATCAGGAATTTTTGAATCCTCTCTAAACTTATTGCATTAAAGGGGACAATATTCAAATGCATTCATAGTTTTCGGGGGAAAAAAAATACTATCATGTGCCTTTAGAGTGATATGTCTTTTGCTCAAAGGGCTAGCATCCCAAATAAGGAAATGACAAAAAGCAGTATTGGCCAAAGAATCATGAAGCTTTTCTAGGTTTGATCAAGAGGTCTTAGTGGTTCATCCTTGTTCCAAATGCCCAAATCACAAGAATTATGACTGTTTTGTTTATTCAGTCAAATTGCATTCAGATCCCGCTCTGTGCTCAGTGCTGCTGTGTGACCAGTGTAGGCCTCACTATACTGAACAGGGCATGCTCCTTCAGTGTGTACCTGAGGCAGCGTTCAGACGGCATTCTCCAGCTGGGTCCTCAGAGTCAGGCTTAGAAGTTTTGAGAAGAATCTGCAAGCATTCCAGCTGGATTAAAAAGGACGAGAAAGAAAACTGAAGTGAGCCAAAGCACAAAGAGTGTTCTAGAAGGTCATGACACCGATGCTTCACAATACCAAGGAGAGGCCTAGAGAACGTGAACGCTGACATTTCACATCTCCTCACCACTTCCTTTAACGTGCCCTTGATGTTTTTAAACTTTTAGGCTTTTTACATTATTAGAGACTCAAGTATAGAAAGTGTGATATGTTTGAGACTCGATTAATAGCTGACTAAAGATTGAAAGGAAAAACATCAAATAGTCATTGGGAATAGTTTTCCAACTAAGATTTTACGAAATGCAACTACAGTGATCTGAATTACAGATACTTGTCTGTGGAAATTTAGGTTTCCTTCCAAACATAACTAGTGAAATCAAGTTTATACCAAGTACATTTTGCATAAGTATATACAGAAAAATACTTTTCTACTCAAGGAGGTGGATTCTGGAAACTCATCAAAAAAGCAGCACACAGAGAGGATGAATGTGAGGAGGTAGTGAAACCGATTCTCACAGCAGCCTCAGGCTTAGCAAATGAGGGCAGGTAGTCTGTCAGGCCTGAAGCTCCGTGGCTGCGCACACACTTCGCATCCATCCTTGCTGCCCACCCTCGCTTTGTATTTAAGCGGTGATGTAACTCTAGACAGAAAAATAAATTATTTGAACAGTCTGGGATCTGGTCCATGACTGCATTTTACAACACTCATTAGAGAATCGAGCTCACATTTGGTAATACACCCAAGTGGCAAAATTAATTAGAATCTGAATAAGCTAAATAGGCTTCCTTCTGTCTCAATTTTACTTTGAAAAGCAGCAGTGATCGGGTAAAAGAAAACAAAACACGTATGAAAGCGGTGTATTAAACTGTGCCTATTTCTTCTGGCTTGTGTAAAAAAATATTTGTAATCTGGCTTAAAATTATATGTAGAACTGAATGGTATTTAAAATAAAAGGAAAAAATTATATTATAAAGAAACCTGCAATTGGTATGATTTTTAAATGCTTAATGTAATATATTGCTTAAGTATTCCATTATTACTGAATATTGAGTTGTTTCAAACATTTATTTCATACAATTTACCTTTTAGTTCTTTTGTTTTCAATTATTATAAATAGGCTATTCCTTCACTTGTTTCTAGTGTAAGCTCTAACAAAAGCTAAGGTGGTCATCATCCTCACTTGCTCCACCATGGGTGAGCAGCACAGAGTAATTCTAGGCACATTGTTTAATTAGATGAGAGACTTGCTTAGCAACCTATTATTGCTATAGTTCCTCCCCCAGAACGTGGGGTCATAAGCTCAATGGTATGATATCAAACACAAACATAGATAAACACTTGAGCTCTGAAATGGAAAAGAATATCTATTATAGGTGGGATTAAAAAAATCTTACTCTTTTGAATTCCTATGTTTTTAAAATGCTTCTAGTGATCCAGCAAATGGAGAAGAGAATTTTAAAGATTAGAATAATTCACCATTAGAAGATCTATCTAATTTGATACATTCCAAACAGTAATGGAAAAAAATCATAAAATGAATTCAATCCCTGCTAGAGATACTTATTGTTTCTAAGTCAACACGGTAAATTAGTTCTTCTCCCAAATTATCTAAGTATGATCTCCTACATCCTACATAGTTTAATTAAATGAATGAAACATCTAAAGGTGAGTCAAAATGAATTATGGATGTATTGCCACAGAAAAAGTTTTCTTACTATTTACTATTTAATATTATTTTCCTACATAATATTTTCAACTTGCTATGTATATAATATGTTGGTATAAAAATAAGATTTACCAGCACTTGGGAGGCAGAGCCAGGCGGATCTCTGTGAGTTCGAGGCCAGCCTGGGCTACCAAGTGAGCTCCAGGAAAGGCGCAAAGCTACGCGGAGAAACCCTGTCTCGAAAAACCAAAAAAAAAAAAAAAAAAAATAAGATTTACGGACAAATACATTTGTTTTATGAACAGTTTCACAGACAGGATGGTGTGCTGGAGGTACCATATCCTTCCACAGCTTTTTTTTTTTTTGCTTTTTCCCTGCTTGGTACCTGGATTCCTTTCTAATTTATGGCTCTGAACGTCCCCAGGAGCTCTGGAGACCTTGATCAGTCCCTTATCTTCCTTCTCTTCAGAACCCTCTGCATTCAGAGTTGGCCAGCTTGGTGAACATCAGGAAACACAATGATATAAAAACAGGCTCTCTGTGATCTCACCACACACGAAGGCACACCTAACACAACCTTGGGTGTGATATTCAGTTGGAAGCACAAGAAGAAGCTTTTCTTGTTTGAACTGAGAGCCATCACTGTAGAGGGCTCTTAACTGTGGCCATCTGCCGCTTTCTGAAGCCACGGCTCTAACAAAAGTGCTCTCCTGATGCATCTCTAGTCAGGCTGTTCCGAGTTCTTTGTTCAGGTAGGTCCTTCCTTCCCTCTCTTCAAGAGCTTTGTGATCAAGCACTGGATATATGAGTGTTTTGATGAACAGAGAATTCACTGATGTCACAATAATTCAAAGGAGAAAATATGCTTGTGAAAGTAGTTAAGAAAGCATGTATTCAAATTCTGCCGTCGATTAACCAGTTTCTCGGCTCAGCTTCACAGATTTTTAGAAGGATGAAGTGAATTTTACCCCTCAGTGTAGTTATTATACATGAGCAAGGCAGGGAAAGATATCAGAATTTTCTACTGCAAAAATACACCTCATCAACACATGGATTATATTGAGCTAACAGTTGCTAAAAACCAGCAGGTGTGGGATATGCTCTAAAAACAGGGCCGTGTTTTCCCTTTTCAAAGGAAATTTCCATTCCGAGACAGCTCTGTCACCAGACTCGGTTAGCGTCAATGTGCTAGGTTCCTCTATGACTATACAAATGTGACTTATGTAGTTATTGTCCCAGGTGACAAGTGTGTCTTCGAATCTTTACTTTTGTTTGTAGCTAACATGTCAAATACTAATATTTTTTATTTTATCTTAATCCATAATAGTTTGAAAGGAGAAAAAAAATCTGAGAGGAAGATCATGAGTGTACTTTTAACCACTGCCAAATTACTTGTAATAATGTCAATGCCAGAAAAAGTTCTGTTATTTTATTGTTTAAAGAATAATGACAATAAAATATTTGTACATGTTTAATAAGACACTTTTTTCTTTTTTTTGTTTTTTTGGTTTTTCGAGACAGGGTTTCTCTGTGTAGCTTTGCGCCTTTCCTGGAACTCGCTTTGGAGACCAGGCTGGCCTTGAACTCACAGAGATCCGCCTGGCTCTGCCTCCTCAGTGCTGGGATTAAAGGTGTGCGCCACCACCGCCCAGCAGTGACACTTTTTAAAATACTTTTAATCTGAGGTCACTTGAATCCATGGATGTTGAACCTACAGATTCAAAGAACTAACTGAAACAGCACAAGCTGGGGGTAGTGAAATCGGGTCTCAAACCCAGCAGACCCCACACCGAGTCCACACTTTCAGCCACAGGTTGCACTAAAAACGGAGCACAGGCCAGGACACTGGTGCCACCGTAAGGTGCTGAGGAGCCTCACGGCAGAAGAGTTAACGGTTACGGCTAGTCAATTTTTACGTCAACTTGACACGTGCTAAAGTCATTTGGGAAGAAGGAACCTCAATTAAGAAAATGCTTAGGACAGGTTGGCCTGTGTGCAAGTCTGTGAAGCATTTTTTTTTTTTAATCATTGATGTGAGAGGGCCCCCGCTCACAGTGGGTGACACCATCTGTAGGCAGGTGGTCCTGGGTGCTGTAAGAAGGCAGGCTGAGAAAGTCACGAGAAGCAAGCCAGCAAACAGCATTCCTACATGGCCTCTGTATCAGCTCCTGCCTCCAGGATCCTGCTCCACTCCCTGCCCTGACTTCCCGCCCTGGACGATGGACTAAACCTTTTCCTCTCTGTGTTGATTTTGGTCACAGTGTTTTATCATAGCAATAGAAACCCTAACTAAGACATAAGGCAGCATCAGCTCATTTCAGAAAAGGTTTCCTATCATTTACAGTTCCCAAAGTTAATAAAGAAACATTTCAACCACTACAAGGAAAACAGAACAAACCTAAATGTCCCCAGTCCTGCTTGATCTATATATAGAAGATTGGGGCTGTAGCCACCAGCTGTTGCTGTCTCCCTGCTGTAGGCTGAATTATGCCCCCATACCAATTCATATGTGGAGTGCTTAACCTCTAATACTTCAGTGATAAGATTTTTAAGGAGGTAATTAAAATTAAATGTCATGAGTGGGCCCTAATTAAATTGTGTTCACACACACACACAAAAAAATCTCAGTGCACAAACAATTGTTGTGTAGCAATCTCCTGAAAGATAAAAACTCTATCTTGGAGGAAAGCTCACCAGAATTCAGGATGTTCTAAAGGGAGGGGAAACTTGCACCCTGCAGGGAAGCTCTTTAAACTGAACAAGTAAACAACAGAGTCCTAGAAGTCCCTGAAACTGAGCAGATTTCTCCCTCCCCACGCTGATAAAGCAGAGAGGACTTCTGAGACACACTCACACTAGCCAACCTACTGAAAGAAGCTCAGACAAACTGAGCTACCTAGAAAAGATCCTCCAACTGGTGGAACTTGCTACCATTTGTGCAGTGTTCTCAGGTTTCCAGCTTTCATGAACTGTCAGTGCTGGGATGATGGGCTTTTGGTGATACAGCCGTCTTTGAGTCATTTCTGCTCCTGCAAGTAACCCATTCCAGTAAAAAACTCATTGGTTCACCCATTTGGATTTCAGCGACATCATTACTTTTGGGTCTGTTGTTGGGTTCCTATCTGGGGTGAGTACACAGTTGTTCACATCTCCCCAGGAATAGTGTCACACATGAACAAGGAAGAAGAAAGTCTATGTAAACACAGAGGTATAGCAGCCATATGTAAGCCTAGGAGAGGGACCTCAGAAGAAATCAACCTTGCTGACATGTTATCAAATTCCTACCATTCAAAAGATGTGAGAAATAATTCTGTTGTTTAAG